CAATTTGGCACGAAAAACACATTAACACTATTTCAAAATGTTCCAAAACTCTGAAAATAAGGGTTGTTTATCATTTACATGGAAATTCCGGTGATTCCATACGGAAAGTAAATGGAACAAGCATATTTCGACTGCCCAACCGGAACTTTTCCGGAATGAACGGTTTGTTTGAAAAGGTTGTTCTCTCTTACCGATTGGAAAGTTTCAACCGGTACATGTTGTTCCATTTACATCCTTTTTATTTTTTCACCAGTTCCAGGCTCTTCTCGATTTAACAATTGAAATTATTAAGGTTACAGGACACCTTTTTTGGCGTTTTGCGGAAAATCGCTACTGCGCGCTCAATATCAGTCCGATTTTCATCAAATTTTCACCAAATGTTCTCCAGTGCATGCAAAATATGGTACAGTTGTAAAATTAACAAACAATAAAATAATGTAAGAATTATTCAGGAAAATCTTAAATCGCGGTACCGTTACACTTTTGAGTTATGCTCCTGCTGGTTTTAAGTTATATTTATATGAAAATATCGTTTTTATACAGTAAAATAGTTGTTCTAAAAAATTGTGTTCGGAAATTTTTGTTTATTTCGTCATTCCGCTGATATTGCGATTTCTTTGACGACTGCAATATATTTCTGAATTGTTTGAGTGAATTGCTCTTTATTTTTAAAATATCCAAAATTAAAAAAAAGCCGAACACGATTATGAAACTGACGTCTTTAGCTATGTCCTGTGAAAATTTGAGAAAAATTGGTTAAAACCCGCAGGAGCACAACTCGTTTGAAAATCAGTAATTACCGTAAACTTTTTCGGGAGAAAATTGAATTTGAATATTACATTTTCAATGTTTTTCTTATTGCAGCGAAATGTATTTTATTAAATAACTCTGCGAGTTTTCAACATTTTTCGTTCAAACTTGGTCAGATAGTAGAACTAGTCTAATGCTTTCATGGAAACCAATAAAAAAATTTTAGGCAAAATTAACACTCAAAGGTGTTCTGTAACCTTAAATGGAAAGCGCATAATCCGAATGGAACTTTCTATCCGAAATTTTGCTTACCATTAGCACAATTTCAAACCGGATGGGTTTTCCATGTACATGGTAAACAACCAAGAGTACCGATCTACTGTGCATATTTTGCTCAAAAAATTGGAAATGCTGTTTCAGAGATCCTAAATTAAAAAATACTCCAGGATACATGTCTCAATCCGTGTTATATATGTTATATGACGTAATGACATACGCTGTTGATTGTTTTGTCCAGGATTTTGTATGATATATCTATGCTATAATAAATTGTTGGTATCACATCCGTATGGTGCTAACCTATCTCACTATTCTTCACCTTTTGCATGTGGTAAGAAAGTATAGAAAGCGGCATTTGAAATTATTGAAACAATGGTCGATGGTTCAAAATTGGTAAATCCGAACCTAGTTCCCATTAAGCTCTAAAAAGCCTCTTTTCCTTTGAGGAGAGTTTGCGTGTATTCGAGTACATTTATTAGAGTAAACGCATGTTGTAATAAAATGTAAAACCTTTATTTAAACAGGATGACACTGTCAGAAGTCAACTATCAATAGGAGCCGTGCAAACTATTAGTGATAAAGTATAAAGATAATGGAGTGTAAGAGCTATTAGATTTGATTGTAGTATACCTGCTGTAAGATGTACAAACCTTTAGGTATAGTTGCAGGATCTTGGCGTAATGACTCCATTACACTGCGGCGTACTTCATCCAGTGTCAGTGGTCTTGGTAAAGATGGTAATTGATACACAGGTTGAGGTGTCATTACTACATCTGTTTCAACAGCCTCCTCCTCCTTCTTCACACCAGATGAGCTCTCACCCTCGCTTATCTTCGCTTGTTTAGGCCTACCTGGTCGCCGTTGAACACTACCATCTAATGATGTACGTTGTGTATTAATGGTCGGCATCCAGCAATTTGTTATGGTACTTTTATCACAAGGTTCACGTGGCAAGAGATTAAACCATGGTCCTGTTGGGCCTTCCATTACTATTACCCCTCGGCTTGGTGTAGTGTTCTGATGCTCCAATCCAGCAGAGGTAGAATTATTTGACGTCTGTATCAAGTGATTCCTGTTGTCTTGTGTTGGAGATTTGAGTCCACTACTGGAGCTTTCATTGCTAGGTTTTCCTTGTGAGGAAACATGTTGCATTAATAGCTTCATTGGAGAAGGTTCAGCACCTACTCCAACCATTTGGTTTCCAAGGAAACCTCTGAATTGTCCTGACAATTCCCCGGTAGGCCCTTTCATCTCGTCTAAACATCGAGTCAAACCTGGACTAAACACGCCCTGTCCTCCAAAGTTCCTACTATCAATGTTAGAATGTTCTTCACTTAGTTTAGACATATCGAAATTCTCCAGTCCTGTTTCACCATTCTCATTCCCTTCGATGTACAAGCTTCCTCCATAAGGCAGGACCCAGTACATGCGGCGAAATCTGTCTTGACCCAAGTACAAGGCTCGTAGTGAGTGAGAGGATGTGAACAGCTTCGAGCGAAACTGAACTTGTTTCTGAAAAGAACAAACATAGAGTGATGTTTATTGTGGCTTCAATGGTACTACACCTCATGGTTGGGAATGCGATGCGAGATTAACTAACACGTAAAAAGTGGTAAAGTTGGTGTGGGGGCAGTCTCCACCTACAACAGGGAGCACACCACTTTTTGCCCTTACCAAATCTACTAGAACTTACTCTTGGGATCATCTTTAAACATCTAGGCATGCAACCATTTTTACAAGTTTAGAAGCTAAGATCCCGAACCGCTACACTTCGATACCCCCCCCCCCCCCCTCCCACCGATGCATCCTGCCTCAATCGTCCGTTACGTCCCACTCCCTCCATCATCATCATCTACAGTACTTACCTTTTCCAGCTTTTTTATTCGTTTTTCGAACTCTTCTAAAGTTTCTGGTTCGGCTTTCTCCTACAACATAGACAATATTTCCAATGTAATATTAAAGTATCTACAGAGTATGTTAAAATAACTGGTGATAAATGCTAAATAACCTTTTCCTGTTTTCATATACAGAAAGTGGTGTTTCAATGTCCGGACTCCCGAAATGATGAATACGAACATCTTTCATTTATGCTTGCACATCACATAAGTTTGTTTCACTACGCACTAGCCTTTCACATAGCCAACTCGAATTGATCAGAATGAGTAATGTTTTTCATTATACATATGAATAATAGTCTCGTGTGTGGAGGCAAATAAATCGAATCGAAAACATGTTTCAAGTGATATTGTATCAACACAGCTGGAGGAAATTCCAGGACTTTCAAGGATCTCTATTAACTTTCAAGGACTTTCCTGGCTTGGACTTTGCAGAATGAGCGTAGGAAATCTGGGTTAAGTCTGAAAGTTATGTTCTGGTTTTATTACCACATCTGCCGTGGTCACAATCTTTAGATCAGTGCACATACCTCGTCCCCAGATTCATCATCAGAATCATCCTCATCATCATCTCCCCCTTCGTCTTCCTCTCCAGCTTCATCATCATCTTCGTCATCATCTTCCTCTATTTCTTCGTCATCATCATCTTCATCGTCATCATCATCATCACTGCCATCACTTCCCTCATCTTCAACCACTTTCCTCTTTCGTTCTTTCTCGTTTGGTGTTGTTGTTGCTGTAGTGGCTTGAGTGCTTGCTTTCTTTCCAGGGCTTTTCTTTTCTTCTGATGCCGTTGTTTTATTTGGAATCTTGCTTTCTGGAAACTTTTGTTGCTGTAGAGCTTTCAATCTAAGTATAAATAACATTTCTAGTACTCTATTCCACTCAACATAGTTCTATTCTATTTCTATTCCGAATCCAATCTCAGTCCATTCCAATATTCTAATACCATTCTAATTCCATTTAATTCTAATCCCATTCTTTTTTAAACTAAATTTCAATTTCATCCTAATTCTATTCTAATCCCATTTCGATTCCATTCTAATTCCACTCCAATCCATTCTAATTCCATTTTAATTCCATTCCCATTCTAATTCCATTTAATTCCATTTTAATTCCATACACCGATTCGAAAAAGAGCTGTCAAAGTCTGGAGGACTGTGGCGAGTTACACGAAAACGAGGCTAGTCAGGTTAATTTTTCGCGCGAAAACTTTGAAATTGTTTATATTTTTTAAATAACATGGCCTCATCAGGTTTTGATAACTTTGACGTAGAATTAACCGAAGAGGATATTCCCGGTGCTTCCTTAGCTGGAAGAATACCTTCTAAGCTAAAGATGGACGAGCTTCGTTTTTGGTTAAAATGTCGTGGTGATTCGTGCAAAGGCCTTAAAACGAAGGCACAATTCGTAAAACGGTAAG